GTAAGACGATAAACTACATCCGACAGCAAGGCATCTGATCAGGAAGTTTTAAGGACCGTGGAACCGCCTCTTAATTGCTGGTGTCCCCATGTCCTTCCAGGGTAGTAGCAGTTGATAGTGTCCCTGCTATGGTCACATAGTTAACCCCTAAGCTAGGGTCAAAACACTACCAAAGTATAAATAGGTTTTAGTATCAACAATACATTTTTGTAAAAATTATTACCAGCAATGAATTTTTGAATAAAAAAAATTACCAGCAATACATTATTAGCAGCAATATATTTAGAAAAATAATATTACCAGCTATAGATTTTAAAAAAAATATATATATTGCTAGCAATTCATTTTTGGAAAAAAATATTGCTAGCAATACAGTTTTGAATAAAAAATTATTACCAGCAATATATTATAAAAAAAAAATTACAGCAATACATTTTAAAAAAAAAAAAAAAATTCCCAGCAATTAAATTTTTGTCGGCATTAAATAACCCATTGAGGTTGATATGCCGTAAAACAAACCAAACCATTCGCCCATGCTTAGAATATTGCTGCCATATATGGTTTGGGGATCCTGATATGTATTTAGTCATTCTTGATAAAATCCAAAGAAGAATCTACAATGTTATTGATCTTCATCTCTAGTATCTTAGCTTCAATGACTTCCCGCCGCCGCTTCCCTGTGTCTTTTCTATCAATACTTTCCTGGTAATTGTTGCGATGACCTTTCCTTTATGGTACCTAGACTTTATGGATTTAAGCACAGTGCTAAATTTGATCCAAGGTCTCATCATTTTGCAGCTTAAATTGTTAGATATAAATATACGTTTTACGCTAATAGCTTCTCTCATGCATTTATCGTCTGTGGAACTCTCTTCCGGCTTCTTGTTTCCCTGTCAAATGTAATCTTCAAAAGTTTCAATGCAATGTCAATCGTTATCGTATATTTTCTAAATTCTTGTTCTTTTATTGTCTTCTCTTCTTAAAAGTAAATTTTTTCTCATATTCTCTAACACTCAGTAACCTATTGCGTCTTAGCGATTTTATTGTTTTGCTTGGGGTGAGGAATGATTAAAAATATATCTAGTCTGGTACCCCTACTATATTTTGTGAGATTGTCGACAAAATCCAAAGGGATGTAATCTTATCGATCCTGACCTGGCACCTCGGCTTCAGGCACTTTCTGACCGCCTTGGCCGGTCTTGTCTGTGACTTTTCTACAAATATTTTCATGGCAATCGTTCTAACGCGCTCTCAACTTTGGTACCTCGACTGCATGAATTTAAACGTACTACTAAACTGGCAATTAGGTCTCACCTCTTTACTGTTGAAATAGATTGATATAACCGTAAGTCCCATTCTGATTTATTTCCTTTACTTCACGCCTATGTTTACTCTCTTTCGTATTCTTGCTTCAACGATCTTCTAAGATTTAACTGCAACGTCAACCGCCATATTGTTTTTACTGTTCTTTCTCCTCACCAACGTCTTCTCATTATATTACACTTTCTTTTGCAGCTTAGTGGCATTATCGCCTTGCTGGAGTGGGGTGAAACGATTAAAAAATTAGAAGTAAATACGAGGGTCATTCAATAAATAAGGTGAATTTTTCGGTATAAGGACTTCTAATACAGATAGAAGCTTGCTTATTTTTGTTATTTTTCAACGTAGTCTCCCAGCACTGTCACACACTTTTCCCATCTGTGCACAAGCTTCCGTATTCCCTCAGCGTAAAAATCTTTGGACTGATGTCTCAGCCAGTTGCTCACAACACGTTTGACTTGATCGTAACTTTTAAACTTCGTGCCTCTCGTGAATGCTTTCAAGGGACCAAACAGATGAAAGTCTGAAGGGGCAAGGTCTGGGCGGTAAGGGGGATGAGGGAGCAGTTCCCATCCCAGCTCGTTGATGGTCTGCACCGTTTGGGCTGCTGTGTGAGGCCTTGCGTTGTCATGATGCACGATGACTCCTTCTGACTGATGACCCCTGCGTTTGTTCTTTATGTCTTTCTTGACCTGCCTCAGCAGTTCACAGTAGTTCTTCTGTCAGAGTGAATGAGGTCATTGACTGATTCGATTACCTCAGGAGACCTCACTTCTGTAGGCCTCCCAGGCCTGTCTTCATCCTCAACACTGCTCCGTCCTTCTTTAAACAATTTAGCCCACTTGTAGACATTTTTTGGCTGAAACATGTGGCACCATACACAGTTGACATTCTCCTATGAATTTCAACTGGTTTTCACCCTTCAACAACCAAAAACTTGATAACTGACCGCTGTTCAATCCTGGAGCATGCTTCTTGGTCGGCCATCTTTGTTAATCGCCAAAATTCTCAAAGTTTTTTTTTTTTAATCTGCAAAAGAAATTAAATCCATGTGAAAAAGAAATAAAACAAAAAAAAATAAAATAAAAAAGTAAGCTTCTATCCGTATTAGAAGTCCCTATACCGAAACATTCACCTTATTTATTGAATGAACCTCGTATATATAGAACGGTGTGAGTTTCTCAGTGAATAGTTTATATAAGCTTTGATCAGAATAATAAAATTGATTTTTCGCAAACTGACTAATAAACAACTCGTTGGAAATTCTGACGTGAGTCATTATGATAATTATCCAGGTTGTCCGGACGAATATTCACGTCTCTGTCGATATCAACATGTTTCGACGAAGGCGTTGTTAGGGAAAAACACACTGGAGAGCGTGCCGCGTTTCGAAATCAAAGCAGATAGAAATCAATTGAAACATAAGGAAAGATCTAGTAAGCGAATGTCATCAACATTAATTATCAGTAGAGATTAATGTATACGTTAATCTATTTCCAATGCCGACCAAATTAACTTCTGAATTGAAGTAATTATGAAATAAAATAAAAAAAATGCGAAACGTTGTAATAAATATGGCGACAAAGATGAGGACGATAGTCCGAATAATGTAAATAATGTATATGAATACTACGAGATGTAGTATAGAGGAGGCATGGTGGAGTAATGGATAACGAGCCGAGCCGAGCCGAGCCGAGCCGAGCCGAGTTCGAATTCCACTTACGTGCAAATCCCTTGGTATGAATCTTCTTCTTCTCCCCCAGCTATGGGTAAATAGCAGGAGAGACCTGGTTTTATAGTTCTATTGGATGACACCACAGGAAAAAATCTGCCTCGTCAGTCATGTATCGAAAGATCGCCTAAACATGTTTCCCGCTTAGGCGATGAACTTAGTCAATAAGTAGAGTGTTGGACCCCGTATCATAGATTCAAAGGGGTATCATAGATTCGCGTTGGCATGAGACCCGTGCACCGGCTCTGTGTTGATTCTCCTGCTTATTGCTGATGAGTACAATCGATATGTTGTCTTCGTTTCGGGTTTCTCTCGATTCTTCTGCGCCTTTCACCCTCAACCCCTTCATTTAAATCTACGCGGGTAAATTACTTTTATTCCGTCTCCCTTCTTTTCCCCTATGAAGTAGAAGTCTTCTCCTGAAGTCTATCTTCCAGGAGAGTGACTCAACTGCGCCTTCTCGGTTTTATGTTTTCCACTGTCATGAAGTAGAAAGATTATATCGAATGAATTGATAAGTTTGTTGCTCGGAAATTTGGTTCACTGTTTCATGCTACATAATTTTTCTCTTATCAAAAATCAATCTTACACATTGTTAAGTCTGTCATATATGGAGACGTGACCGAGTGGTAAGAACTTTCGCTTTAGCGTTCGAATCTCACCATGGTCGATTTGTAAAGAGAGTAACTTCTTAATGTTATCGGTCTCGAGGAGGCGATCTTAGCGTGCTGCATCTTTGGAAAGTACCTAAAAAATATACCCCGAGTTGACCCAAGCCTTGTGATTGAAATTAGGTAAACAAAACACTTGGGAGCCGTCGGTGGTTGTGCTAGCACGAAGTCACAAGTCATTGTGACCGAGCATTTGAGCGTGCTGGATTTGTTCAGGCTGTTGATCATGCTAGATAATTCGCTCTCTCCAAGAAACTGTTTGTCAACTGGGCATAGTTGCGGTATAAACCAGAGGTGGGCTCTGTGGGTGTTGAACAAACACAAACGTGCCTGAGCAACCTTGTAGACTGGCATCCTCGGATAAGAGTGGCTGCGCCATTTTAGATAGCTGTCACATTTGATCAGTTGCTTCTGCTGTGTATGTATAGATTCTTGATAAAAATCTGATGAGCAAACAATGAAGCTATGTGCTCGTTTCTGAGGAGGCCCATTTTCTGAGTTGGCTAGCTAATCGCTGCTGCAGATGACTGCTCAGGTACATTTCTGTTTATTCAACACCCGCAGAGCGAAGCTATTTTTTAGACTGTCTCTATACTGAACGGATTATAGTCACTTTAAAAAAATAGGAGTGGGCAAATAATATGGTATGATTATATTTGAAAAAAAAGTCACTTGATTTGAAATCCTTGGCACGATGACTTTTGGCATCAAACGAGTGCAACCATCAACTACTTCATCTACTCAGTTTTCCTATACGTAATCTGTCCACCTATGGTATGGTTTCCAGGCATCTCCTTCAGTAAATATTGTCAAGATGTCGACTCTTTAACAAATCGATAAATTGTAAGATTTAATCTCGGTTCTGTTGGTCGAGACTGTTAAGTTCTGACCACTTGGCAATGCATCTGTATTTACAATTTGTCGCCATTTTATATTTTTAATTTCGCGCATGCGCGTTGTTTTTGTATAGAAAGGCTTATTCGCCTACTTAAAAAAGGTGATCGTCCGAAGTTGTCTGGAGACCATTGTTAAAGCCAATGGCGATTTTATTGAATAAATTCACTTGGTACTATTTCAAGAAGTTTAATTTTGATAAATATATCTGTTAAAATGATGTCAGTGTTATTTTCATTTTGGCATCATTAAGACAAAAAATTATCCATCGCATCCTGTATATGAAAAGAATGATTTAAAAAAAAATTATAAACTATTTCATCTGTTTAATATCTACCGGACAAACCACCTTCTAATGCCGTTTTTTTCCTTTCTATTCGCAGGATGAGCAGGTGACAAAGGAAGAATGGTTGAAGATGTGGGCCGAATGTGTTAAGAGCGTTGAAAAGGGAGAAAGTCTGCCCGAATGGCTGACTAAGTACATGAACTTCATGTTTGATGTCAACGATACATCAGGTAAGTGAGCAGTTCTCCGATGACCATCATCAACGAAATTATGCGATTGAAGGTCTCTAATCTCAAGGAATATGATCACCTAAATGTTTGCAATCATTTTTTTATCCTTTCGTTTCTTTTTACGCGTGTCTTTTTTAGGCGTTTTTTCATTGGTTGGATTTTTTTAGGTTTATGTTTTCCATTTTATTTCTCGCCATTTTGGTTTCTACGGATCAAAATTTCGTCTTTTTTGTTGCTCCATCGTCTCTAGTTTACATTTCATTTTCTTCTGTCGTTTTATTTCCATCTCAGTTTCTGTTATTAGGTTGTTCCAAAAGTTCGTAAACACTTGCAAAAAAATTGAAATTTTACTCGCCAAGTAATAACAAAAACTACAAAAATTATTCCTCAAAATAAAGACCATCATTTTCGAAGACTTTCTGCCATCGATCTGCAAGCTTTTGGATCTGGTGAAAGTACCATTCAGCTGGATTCGAATCAAAGAATTCTTGACACGCTACCTCGACTTCATCAAACGAGTCGAATCGGGGGCCCTTCAGAAAGTGCTGCATTGAGCGGAAAAGGCCGTAATCTGATGGAGCACAGCCAGGACTGTAGGCTGGATGTGGCAGAACCTAAACGCCGTCCAGCTCTTCAAACTTGTCTTTGGTCTTCCTGGCGGTGTGTGGCTTGGCATTGTCCTGCTGCATCAAAGCGCGCTTTCGGTTGATCAGAGCCGGGTCCTTTTGCTTCAACTTTTTGTAGACCCGCTCCAGTTGCTGGCAGTAAAGTTCGGCACTGATGGCACGACCATTCGGAACCAACTCAAAATGCACGATTCCTTCAAAGTTCCACCAAATGCACAACATGACTTTCTTGACGAATCGATCTTGTTTTGGAACCGACGGTGTCTCTTGCCCTTTCTGAACCCATGGCTTGTCTCGATTGTGCTGGACCAGATAGACCCATTTCTTGTCCGATGTTACAATGCGCTTCCAAAAACGCTCGTCCAATGGATTGCTGAGTTCGTGCGGATTTTGACGCGGTTTTTTGTGAACAAAATCAAGTTGCTTCAAGTGTCGGTGAATTGTCGATTTGCCATCTCCAAGCTCATCAGCCAATTCTCGATAAAGTAAAAAAAAAAAAAAATTGTATAAAAATTCAATCATTTTCTTATCCGTTCGTTTCTTTTTATGCGTGTCGTTTTTAGGCGTTTTTTCATTGGTTGGATTCTTTTTAGGTTTATGTTTTCCATTTTATTTCTCGCCATTTTGGTTTCTACGGATCAAAATGTCGTCTTTTTTGTTGCTCCATCGTCTCTAGTTTACATTTCATTTTCTTCTGTCGTTTTATTTCCATCTCAGTTTCTGTTATTTTATTCTTACTTTGTTCTGTTTTAACGTCACTTTTTTTTGTTTTATTTTCTTTCTGGTCACAATTAAGCTTTGTTTTATTTCTTCCTTTGGTCTGTATTATATACAGTAACTATGAACACTAATGCGTATGTCCCAATCCTCATAAATACGTTGGATACTATTGCAAGTGGTGGGGTAATATGCTGTCTAAGTAGTCCAGCACTAACAGCGGTTTATCTATTTTACCGCCATGGCAAGTATTGTATTTTATTGATGTTATAAGGATAACCATTTCATTTCTAACCTCCGTTTTGGTTATTCCTCATAATGTTGCAGTTTTTTGTGTATAATATGTAACTAGTGAGTTAGTCCAAATGCCTGGACTAACTTTATAGTCCACCAATGGAAGGTTAACCAATCAGAAGACGTAGAACATTCAATCCGTCGTGTATAAAGGCGGCCATTTTGTTTACCCTACCCGAATGACCAGTGCCAACTTGTCAGGCGAAGACGAACAGAAGGAAGTACTACGCTCGGCTACTTTGCTGCGATTTCCACTGCTAACCTGAACTACGCTTCCCTACTGTCTCCGAAATATTCACTGCTAACCTCTGGATTCTATACTCGAAGATGACCGTCATCTGAACAACAAGAAACCCTTCCTAGGTTACAACAGTCCGCATCAAATATTTGTTTATCTCTTTCTTTCTTTCTTTCTTTTAGGACTTAAACTTTTTGTCTCTCTCTACTCCACAAAGCCCATTTTCTGTCTTTTTAACTTTCAGTCTTTGTCAATTCTTCTCTTCCCACAATACATTTCACCATATTCTTTTAAATTTTCTTTTTTTTAACACTTAGGCCTTTTTTCTTTCACTACGTTATATAACTTATTTTTCGTATTTTTAATTTTCAGTCTTTCTTTCTTTTCTGTTGGGTCTTTCGTCTTTAAAATGTTTTCATTTTTCTTTATTCATTATTTCATTGTTTCTTTTATTTAGCTATTTTTATTTTCACTCTTTTTTCTTTTCATTCGAACGAAAAATATTGACTTAAAACTCGACCCATGTTCTTAAATAGATTCGAATTTCATATGGATGTAATGCTTGAGAAGCAACTCGTCCAGAAATATTAAAGCTGTCAGTCATACAACCGCTTTCTCCGACCATTAGTTAAAATTGCCATCGAGCGAATGAAGCCTGTACGTCTTTCTTTTATTTGTACATTACAGTGGTTTTCTTACTGTTTCGTTCTTTGAAATATCATCCTGTTTTTTCCCGCTTTTCTTACGTTTTATGTTGTTGCCCACTCTCTCTTTATTTATATTTCATTCTTTCTGATAACGAATTTCTTTCTTTCTTTCTTTCTTTCTTTCTTTCTTTCTTTCTTTTGTTCTTTCTTTAACATTCGTCTTTTCTTTCTTTCTTTTTTTTTTTGCTATTTTTCTTACCCTTTTCTTTTATTTCGCCTCCTTATTTCGTTTAATGAAATCATCCCGAATGCCTATTCTTGTTCTGTCTTTCTTTCATTTATTCTGACTACTTTTCCATTTCTATATTACTTTTTCTTTTCTTTTCTTTTCTTTTTAATTTCATTTTTGTATGTACGGGATATATATATATATATATATATATATATATATATATATATATATATATATATATATATATATATACGCCATGTCTATGGACAATTATTATCTTAAGTTTTGCGAATACATCTATTTAAAGTTAACATGCAATAATGTTAAGAAACAGGCTAAACGATAAAATGAGATAATAGGGTTGATTTTAAGTATCCCCGCCAAAAGAAAAGAAAAAAGTACAAATAAAATAAAAACGGCAAATAATTAAACCATACAACACTTAAGGAAATAGGGTAAGATTTAGGAACATTACGATTGCCTCCTCAGTTATGCATCAAAACTGCAATCCACCGAAATAAGAAAAGAAGCCAGTCCCCACCGCGGGCTATTTAAAAGATAGTTCACGCAGCGGATTGGTTGTTAAAAACATCCAATCGGATGTGCGGAATATGTGGTCTTTCTTCCTCTTATTCTTTAAAAAGGCTAGAGTAGCTGTTAGCGTTTAAGTGGAAGGGGGAATCAGGAGTTGATCTCCCCTGATTGGGTCGATTTGGTGATGTTGAAAGACCCGAAACTCCCTGATGAACCGAATCAAAACATCACGGACAACCCCCTTAAAAGCGTATTTGCGAATTTTTCTTTCTTCCTTTCTTTCTTTCCTCCTTTCTTTCTTTCTTTATCGAATTTATTCTTACTGCTTATATTCTTTCATTCTTGTATTCCTGCTGCCTTTTACATTTGTATTTCGTTTTTAATTTTCTTCATTACTTCCATTTGTTCTTACTACTTTTTTCATTTTTCATTCTTTTCTTCTTGTCATTCTTGTCAAGTCGGCAGTGTGACGTCCCTAAACACAGCCTTCGCTCGCTCCTCGCTGCTCCAAACGTGACGTTCGCCTGTCGCGTCAGTCGTGTTGTCTCGTCCTGTGACGACCAACTGGCTTGGTATCGGTCGCGGCACCCAAATGTGACGTTCTAACCTTTTGGTGATTCGGGTGGGAATCTGGTTAGATTTGATATCAGCCTCGCCGTTCCCAACTCGCTTCCAACGCCTGGTTACCAAGGTAACTGCACTGATCTCCAGTCTGCCTACCCACGTTGTGAATTGATCTTAGACAGACGAGATCAAACAGTGGTTGGGGCCGTAATGCAAATTGAGTTCAACTGGGGTGACACCGCACAAATATGCATAAAAGAAAATAAAATGATAACTCAAAAATTCAAGGTATCAAAAAAAGGATAATGTCTAGTTGTTGGATACATAGGACTGCGTCTATCTCCCGTCCCGTTCTATGGATTTTGACACGCTGTTTTCCGTTAGGCGAGTTTTAACACTTCAAGTTGTTTGCTCTTTAAGAAATTGGTTTTTCGGTGTCTTCGGGCGAAAGTCGAAAAAACTTATTTTGGTGGTTTGGATCTAAGTCGCTCTTCAAAATAATTGTTCTTGAATTGAAGAGGAGTCCGGAATTTTCGCGAAAATTGGTCAGCCGATGCGAGTCTTGCTTCAACTGAGCACTGGGGACTGACTCTGGGAACTGTCTCTCCCGAACTCAACTCTGGAATTCTCTGCTGGAACTGATTTTCGCTCGCTGCGACTTCACTTATATGGACGCCGACCAAAACCGGGGTGGGTTTGTCGGCGCCAAGGGTTCCTCGATAATTCTAAATACCTATCCACTTCTTTTATTTTTGGTTAGGAATTTTCCACTTTCCATTTTTTTGGGAGTCTTCTCTTGCTCCCACCTTCTCACCATGCTTCAGGGGGATGTCGGCTGTCCTCCCCACTTCCTCGTAGCGACCTCTCATACCCATCCTCTAAATGGGCGGTGACAGCTTCCTCCTTGCGTCACGTGATCACCACTCGACCAATGATGTCTAGTCGGGCGTGTACGATCCCGCGGGCTTTGTTTCAGGAAAAAAAAATATCTTGCTTAACAAAAAAAAAATTATCTTTTTCTTTTCCTTTTCTTTCTTTTAATCGCAGCTCTCATTTTCTCTGCCCGCAAATAGAACAATGCGATCGGTGGTGGTCGTAACTCTTGTTCTCACCTGGACTTCGTCAGTCATCTTATCGCTAATTATCAGAATGGGTGGTCTATTTGACACAACACAATCGTCCGTCGGCTCAAAAAAAAAAAAAAAACTTTCCATGGTTCCATTCATTCTTTGGTGCACATTTCTGATAACATAGTATTATTATCGCAGGCTAAAGATGTTCTGTCGAAAGAAAACGGTCAGTCGCCACCTCGTGTGCGGCTTTGACACAATTAATTTTTCATATCTATCCTGTAGTTCACCTGTTTTATGTCAATTATCAAAATAACATTTTCAATTGGATTTTTCTTTGGCTAGTCGGTCTGTGGTTTGCTTAATCAGATGTTTTCCCGCATTAGCGGTTTGTTTATGTATCCCCGATAACACCAGCCCGTCGCCAGAACACACCCGATTCCTTTATCCACTCAGAATTTCCCTGCCATTGTAATGACACTCTTCGCCATTTGTTACTTATCAAAATATCCTTTATCCATAGCCGTGGGTGTCCCACTTATCATCCACGCTTTGGGTCTCGCCTTTCTTTTCCTTTCTTTCCTTCCTTTCTTTCTTTTCTTTTCTTTTTTGCCTCGGTAAATGGTGCCACAGCAGCAACACTTTATTTCTATTTAACACTTTCTTTCTTTCTTTCTTTCTTTCTTTCTTTCTTTCTTTCTTTCTTTCAAATACCTTACTGTTTTTTTTATTTGTATTTCTTTCTTTCTTTTCTTTCTTTCTTTCTTTCTTTCTTTCTTTCTTTCTTTCTTTCTTTCAAATACCTTACTTTCTTTCTTTCTTTCTTTCTTTCTTTCTTTCTTTCTTTCTTTCTTTCTTTCAAATACCTTACTGTTTTTTTTATTTGTATTTCTTTCTTTCTTTTCTTTCTTTCTTTCTTTCTTTCTTTCTTTCTTTCAAATACCTTACTGTTTTTTTTATTTGTATTTCTTTCTTTCTTTTCTTTCTTTCTTTCTTTTTTCTTTCAAATACCTTTTTGTTTTTTTTTTCTTTCTTTCTTTCTTTTTTCTTTCTTTCTTTCTTTCTTTTTTTCTTTCTTTCAAATACCTTGTTGTTTTTTTTATTTTATTTCTTTCTTTCTTTCTTTCTTAAATTCTTTCTTTTTTTTATTTTCTTTCTTTCTTTCTTTTCTTTCAAAATACCTTTGTTTTTTTATTTGTTTTTATTTTTCTTTCTTTCTTTCTTTCTTTCTTTCTTTCTTTCTTTCTTTCAAATACCTTACTGTTTTTTTTTATTTCTTTTTTCTTTTCTTTCTTTCTTTCTTTTTTCTTTCTTTCAAATACCTTTGTTTTTTTTAGTTCTTTTTTCTTTCTTTCTTTCTTTCTTTCTTTTTTCTTTTTTTCTTTCTACCTTGTTTTTTTTTTTTGATTTTTTTTTTTCTTTTCTTTCTGTTGCATTAGTTCTTTTTGTCGAGTTGTCTTTTTTTCTTTTTCATCTACCTTCATTTTTCTGATTTTTTTTCTTTTGTTATTCCTCAATTCATTTTTTTTCTTTGCATCTTTTTTTTTTCATTCTTTCATTTTCTTTTTCATTTGAACTAAAAAAAACAAAATACTAACCTAAAACTCGACCCGTGTCCTTAAATAGCCTCGTCAGATACAGACTCTCAATATGGATGCCAAACCCCTTCAAAAATATCTCAACTGTCTGTCATATACAACCCCCTTCTCAGATCAATGATTAAAAATGGTTTCTAGCGAATGAAACCTGCAGATCATATCGATTACCATTGTTTTCCAAACCTTTTGAGCTGGCGCTACGTAATCACAAACAAAAACTCTACCAAATATCAGTAACCACATGACTTGAAGACTTTTGACAGCAGCAACAACTATAATAGTTAGCATATTGTTGGGGCGCACCCACCTTCTAACTAGTAATGGACTGGTCCCTCTTATATAAGTCAGCTCTGGAGAGAGAGTGACAGAGCGTCAGAGAGAGAGAGAGTCAGGGTGAGCAGTCCAGATAAGCTTACCCGGTACATACCGTTGGACTATAGACTTTAGATATTGTTTCGTACTAACCAACCTTCGTTCTACTAATCACTCTATTGTTAATTGCTTTTATGAATATACCAGTATTTTCCTCTACAACTGTGTTTGTCTTGATTCATACACCGACACGCGGGAAACTCACAACATCTCACATATGCAACCCGAAGAGAAAATAAGGATATATGCAAGGGATTGGCATTCAGCATAACTTCAAGCAAAAGGTTAGGAAGGAAAGTCCATTGATACTGGAAAGAGTGATAACAGATATTGAACTTGAGAAATCTATTTTCTTAAGAGAAAAAATTATTTTAGAGGAATATTTTATAAATTTCATCTGACAGCAGCACTAGTTGTTCCGTCAACAAATACCGGATGTTTCCTTATAAGGAAACGGTCAACAAATACCGGATGTTTCCTTATAAGAAAACGACTAATATATCTACGAATTATAATTAGTTATATTTTTCTTATTTTCATTCATTGTTTTTTTTATTTTCATTAATTTGTTTCTTTCTTTCATTTTCACTTTCATTCGTTACACCTTTTTCCCATTCTTCTTTTCTTTTTTTTCTTTTTTTTTCTTAGTAGTTTTCTTTTTCTTTCTATTCTTTTTTTTTTTTTCTTTCTACTTCATAATTTCTATAACTTTCTTTCTTTTTTTTATATTGCTTTCTTTCTCTTTCTTTCTGTCTTTTTCAATCTTTCCTTCTTTCTTTCTATTTTTTTTCCCTTTTCTTTCTATTCCGCTTTTCAATTTTCTTCCTTTCTTTCTATTCTTTTCTCTTTCTTTCTTTTTCTTTTTTCTTTGTTTCTTTCGTGTTCATTCTTTCTTTCTTTCTATTCTTTTCTTTCTTTTTTTCTTTTCTTTTCTTTTTTGTTTCTTTGTTTTTTTTTTTTTTTCTTTCTTTCTTTTTTTTTTTTTCTTTTTCTTTTTTCTTTCTTTTTTTTCTTTTTTTCTTTCTATTCTTTTCTTTCTTTCCTCTTTTCTTTTTTTTTCTTTTGTTTCTTTCATTTTTCTTTCATTTATTCTTTCTTTTTTCTTTTTTCTATTCTTTTCTTTTTTTTTCTTTTTTTTTTTTTTCATTTTCTTTTCTTTCTTTCTTTCTTTTCATTTTTCTTTCTTTTATTCTTTTCTTTCTTTTTCTTTTTCTTTGTTTTTTCTTTTCTTTTCTTTCTTTTTCTTTTCTTTTTTCTTTTCCTTTTTTCATTTTTTCTTTCTATTCTTTTTTTCTTTTTTCTTTTCTTTTCTTTCTTTTCATTTTTTTTTTTCTAATCATTTTTTTTCTTTCTTTTTCTTTTTCTTTCTTTCTTTTTTTTTTTTTCTTTCTTTTTTTTCTTTCTTTCTTTTTTTTTTCTTTCTTTCTTTTTCTTTTCTTTCTTTTCTTTTCTTTTCTTTCTTTTCTTTTTTTCTTTCTTTTTCTTTTTTCTTTTTTTTTTTTTCTTTTTTTCTTTTCTTTTTTCCTTTCTTTTTTTTCTTTTTTCTTTTTTTTCTTTTCTATTTTTCTAATTTCTTTTTTTTCTTTATTTCTATTTCTTTTTTTTCTTTTTTTTGTTGATTTTCTTTCTTTTTCTTTCTTTCTTTTCTTTTTTTCTTTTTCTTTCTTTTTTCTTTCTTTCTTTCTTGTTCATTTTTCTTTCTTTCTATTCTTTTTTCTTTCTTTTTTTTTTTTTTCTTTCTATTCTTTTCTCTTTCTTTCTTTTTCTTTTTTCTTTCTATTCTTTTCTTTCTTTCCTAATCATTTTTCTTTATTTCTTTCGTGTTGATTCTTTCTTTCTTTCTTTCTTTCTATTCCTTTCTTTCTTTTTTCTTTCTTTATAACTTTCTTTCTTTTTTCTTTCTTTCTATTCTTTTCTTTTTTCTTTTATTTTTTCTTTCTTTTTCCTTTCTTTTTTCTTTTTTTCTATTTTTCTTTTTCTTTTTTTCTTTTTTTCTTTCTTTCTTTTTCTTTCTTTTTTTCTTTTCATTTTCTTTTTTTTTCTTTTTTTCTTTCTTTTTTTTCTTTCATTCTTTTTCTTTTTTTTTTATTCTTTTCTTTCTTTTTTTTCTTTCTTTTTTATTCTTTCTTTCTTTTTTCTTTCTTTTCTTTTTTCTTTCTTTCTTTCTTTGATTCTTTTCTTTTTTCTTTCTTTTATATTTTTCTTTCTTTTTTCTTTCTTTTCTTTTCTTTTTTTTTTTTTATTTTTTTTCTTTCATTTTTCTTTTTTTTTCCTTTTTTTTTTTCTTTTCTTTCTTTTTTCTTTCTTTCTTTTTTCTTTTCTTTTTTTTCTATTCTTTTCTTTCTTTCTTTCTTTTCTTTTTTTTTTTTTTTTCTTTTCTTCATTTTTTCTTTTTCTTTTTTCTTTCTTTTTTGTTCATTTTTTTTCTTTCTTTTTTTTTTTTCTTTTCTTTTTTCTTTTTTCTTTTTCATTCTTTTCTTTTCATTTTCTTTTATTTCTTTCTTTTGTTGATTCTTTTCTTTCTTTTCTTTCTTTTCCTTTTTTCTTTTTTCTTTTATACTTTTCTTTCTTTCTTTTTCCTTTTCTATTCTTTTCTTTTCTTTCTTTATAACTTTCCTTTCAACTATTTTTCTTTCTTTTTTTCTTTATGTTGATTCTAATTCATTCTTTTTTCTTTTTCTTGTTCATTTATCATTAACTTCTTTATTCTGCTTTCTCGCTCACTTTCCGCAACTATTTTCTTCTTATGCCTATAATTCAGCTAGTTTGACCCAGTGATATTGGTTGATAGACCAATATTATTAGCTCAAACTATCTTAGCTAAGACCCGAACTGTCAAGTTTCCCTTCGGTTCCTTTGATAAGGAGGGATGTTCACTCGCCTTCTTCCTCAGCAGGTTTAATTTATCTATCAGACTCCCGAGAGGATGCTCCCCTGAAGATTACCACCTTGGTCTCTTCAGGTCCAGAGTCAACCGATGTCTATCCACACTTTTACATTTACGATAATAAAAATCAAAGACAACAGACATTGAATACTGAATAATCTCCCCACAGATGAATAAAAAAAAAAAATAGAAGCAACAGAAATGTTGCCCTACAGTAGGATTCTGAAAATTCCATGGTCGACGCAAGTAAGAAACAAGTAAGACTTATAGAAAATGGCAACAAAGAAGTAGATATTTCCAGAATGAAGATAGAAAAGATATGTAAAATTCCTTGGACATATAATGAGGAAAGAAGGCTTTGGAAACTTAATCCTCACAGGACATATTGAGGTCAAGAGAGTTAGACGGTAGACAGCGAGTCATTTACCCGACGATTTTGTATGATAGAAGGAACGCGGAGAAACTGATAAAGGCCACTCTAAATAGGACGTTGTGGAGAGACATTATCGCCTTTTCCCTGAAGAGATGCGGCACATAGGAAAAGAACCCTTTACAGTAAGTGACCCTTGAGTGAACAGTAACGAAAAGCGAAAATTTCGCCATTTTTTTTTACTCGAATGATGTGGAGCCCAAACATCTCATTACTTTCGCTAGCAAATGAAGCAAACGCCATTTCTATTCAATTAATTGTTAAACTATAGATGTATAAAGGTTTCAACGCCATCAAAGAAAAAGAGCAGGTGGAATGCTAACACGTCCAGACGAATGCTAAGCATATCCAGACGCTTGTAAACATCCTTAACCAGCAGTATAACCCGTCATTGCCCGGGTCTTTCATTACTGGAAATTTTTGCCGTTTAGTCGCAGCAGTTTAAGTTTAAAGTCAGCCGACCCGAAAATCAATATTAGCAACAACAATTGGGTGAAACTAGGGCACATCCCAAAACGGAGGGTTAACAATTTGAATGGGAGGTGACCCTGAAAAAAAAACATTTTCGCGTTCTCAATCTTGCAAGAAAGGAACCTCATCCATGGACCGTCATAATAATAATATACGATAATTTTTATTTATAATATAATTTGTTTTTTTTATAATTTAATAATTTTTTTTGCGTTAGATTGTTCAACTCTCTAAATTGAGTGTACCCTATTTTTTTTTTTTTTTTTACCGGCAATAAATGTTGCTTTTGATTTTTGCGCAAAGTGCAAAAAAAAAAAAAATCATTTTTTGGGGGATTTTTCACCTTCAACGTTGTAATTTTTTCCAGCCAATTTGGACTCAAAAAAAATTAATCGAAATCGGAGGAAAAAACTGTGGAAAGGCATAAACAACACCCAATGACACACACACACATTTTGAGAATTATAGATATAGATGGAAGACATGCATTTCCTACGTTGATTCTTAAGAGTCATGTTGAAATCCTTCAACCACAAAAAGCCTTTATGTTGTTGTTGTTGTTGTTGTTCTTCTTCTTCTTCTTCTTCTTCTTCTTCTTGTTGCTCTTCATCTTCTTGTTCTTCTTCTTGTTATTCTTGTTGTTGTTCTTCTTCTTCTTGTTTTTCTTGTTCTTTTTTTTCTTGTTCTTGTTGTTGTTGTTCTTCTTCTTCTTCCTCTTGTTCTTGTTGTTGTTGTTCTTCTTCTTCTTCTTCTTTGTGTCCTATCTCATCTGGACGTGGGCGATTAGTTTCTCCATAACTGCCTGTCCTTTGAAGCTCTTAGTAAAGTGCGTTGTATTTGAGTGGGTATCACCTCGAAAGGTGAAATCGGAGAGGCGAGTTCGAATTCCAGTCTGTTTCGTCTAATTCACTTATGCGCAAATACCCTTGGGAAAGGTATGTATTCATCTCTTCTCGTCCCAGCTATGGGACGAATATCAGAACGGACTTGATCCTATAGCCTTGGTTAGCAACTAGTCTACTGCAGAAAGAAACGGCAACCTACTGCGGGAATTTCTTCTTTTTTTTCCTAGGCAGCCATTAATCGAGAGAGACATGGCCGCCTAAATGGGAATCATGAATGGAACTTAACTGTTTCTAGGCCCTTTTCTTCCAAGAATTTATGTAAGCGCGTTAGATTATTCGTGAATTCCCTCTGCCAATATTAATTATAATATGTTCTGTAAGTGTCAAAATCTCCAAGCCGTCTTTCCTCCTTATGTGCCCTAGAAATTTAATCTCTTTCTGATTCTAAATGATTTTTTTTATTTCCATTTTCCTTAAAACTTTCTGATTATTCACGTTTAGTCTGCACATGTCATCATAAAGAAATTTATTTCAACAAAATCTTTTCTTCCTCTATGGGATGCGGATGATCACGACGCTCCACAACTTCTTGGAATTTTTTTCTCTTAGTAAGTTTTGTTTTTGTTATAACACTTAGTTCCTGTTCTGTCAACAGTACACACAAGCTCGCCAGGTATGTTATGAGTTGCTTTTCTCTGTTTCTCTTACCTACAATGTGTCCTTGAAGTGTCAATTTTTCTAAGCCCTCTTTCCTCATTATATGTCCCAGAAATTTCAACCGTCTTTTTTGACGTTCGTTTTGTTTGCACTTCTCTAAAACTTCGTCGTTGACCACGTGTTCCGTACGTGATATGCTCAGCATCCTGCTGTAGAGCTAGATTTCTATCGCCTCAAGTTTCTTCTTCATCTGTGCGGAGATGGTCCAGCATTCACTGCCATCGATTGCAGTACTCTTTAGTTGAATTTAAATAAACCTGTTACTCTTTGTTAAATGTTATGGTCCAGGCTAGGACCAAGGAAGAACAACACGAACACAAGAGTAGAAATAACGAAGGTATATTACACGAAATAATAATACAAGATGTGGAAGGTGTTAGCATGACTGTCAGTCTGGTGTGGAGTGAACTACTATCGGCTCGATTCGATTCGGTATCTAGCCACCCCACCACGAGGGTTGCATGTGGCACAAGGCCGAGTTTGACGTAGGTTTCCCGAGCCCGTAGGCTCGGCCAAAAAATGCCCGTAGAACCCATATAAACGGGATCGGGTTGGTCAATCTCTCCAAACGAGCCTCTGCCCTTCGGCGGAGCCTCGTCCGGGTTCCTCTCTGCTCAGAAGCAGAGAGTTCGACCGTCAAACCAAGAAGCTCGGCTTGAATCGGTATCTAGCCACCCACCACGAGGGTTGCATGTGGCACAAGGCCGAGTTTATCGTGGGTTTCCCGAGCCCGTAGGCTCAGCCAAAAAATGCCCGTATAACCCGTATAAACGAGATCGGGTTGGTCATTTCTCCCCGAACGAGACTCTGCCCTTCGGCAGAGCCTCGTCGGGTTCCTTTCTGCTCAGAGTCAGAAAGTTCGACCGTCAAGTCGAGAAGCTCGGCTTGAATCAGTATCTAGCCCCCCACGAGGGTTGCATGTGACACAAGGTCAGAGTTTTATCGTGGGTTTCCTGAGCCCGTAGGCTCAGCCAAAAAATGCCCGTAGAACTCGTAAAAAACGAGATCGGGTAGGTCATTCACGCCGAACGAGATTCTGCCCTTCGGCGGAACCTCGTCCTGGTTCCTTTCTGCTCAAAAGCAGAGAGTTCGACCGTCAAGTCGAGAAGCTCGGCTTGAATCGTCCCTCTTTCTTGAGAGGCGTAGTATACATAGTGTTAGGAAGAGTTTATTCTGTACTTATAGGTAAGGACCCATGGCATTAAGAAACATATCTTTTCGTCATTCTTAGTTCCAGAATCGGAATCTTGCACGCCGATTCCGTTTTCAATGCGTTTACGCTACGTGTTCGGAAATTAAAACGGCTCCTCAACCATGAAGAATTTTGATAAAAAATAATCTCCCGAAATTCTCGCTTGCTGATGTATCTTCCTATTTCCTGCTTTCCTCTCAACTCCCGTGAATCTCTGCTCGATGCAACAGGCTCCCAAGTGGATGCTTTCAAAATCACTACAATCTTCACCTGTGCAACCCTGGAGGTTATACGTTATCTTCCTCACATATGAGGGTATGAGAAATGAAGTAAAGAGAAAGAAAGAAAGAAAGAAAGAAAGAAAGAAAGAAAGAAAGAATGAAAGGGGAAAGATAAATATATATTGTGCCTCTACTTCGAGTGGCTCTAGAGCATTGTACAGGGTGAGCTCATTTAAAAAAAAGCCCAAAAAACTAGGATATTCATAAAATTAAAATCCGATGTCAATCCTCATCTTCTCTCTTTTACTGTTTTCTCTTCTTTTTTTTCCCTTCATTGCCGGCAACGACATGCATCTAAATGAATTTATTACCTTGCTTGGGTGAAATTATTTAAAAAAGGAAAGAAAAAAAAAGAAACTTTTGTCTACCCTATGCTTCAACGATCAGTTTTGTTCTTGTAAAATCTAACATATCCACAGATCAAGTGCAAATATTAGATATTTAAATTCCGTCCAATGTTCCTCGACTCAGACAAGGAGTTGTGTGCAAACGTCACTAAATCGAACCGCCAGTTTTCTTGGCCGGTCACTAACGTTGCAAACCTAGCATAATTAACCTTATCTGTCAAGGTACAAGGTGATGGCACCTTAAAGGTATTGATTTTCTGTCACTGCTTACTGGGCATGTCTGACGATGGAATGTGAAACAAAATGGCGGACGTTGATGCGAATGGAGTGAACAGAGAAAATAAGGAGGAAGTGGAGATGCCAAGAAAGTTTCAACAGAGACAGAAAGTTTAGAGAAGAAGAAATTGGTGTGTGGGGGGAATATAAATGCGAAATAATGTAGGAAAAAAGGAAAGAAAAAGAAGGGGGAAAATAATAAGAATAAAAAGAAAAGGGTCCAGAAAAAAAAGAAAAGGGTCCAGAAAAAAAAGAAATATCGATGGAAAATGACAAAGAAAGAAATGAGAGATGTTTTATAGAGAAGGAAAAAGAGGGAGTGAAAGAAAGAAAGAAAGAAAGAAAGAAAGAAAGAAAAGGTGGAAGATAAATAAATGAAGAGAAAGAAAGTGGAATGAAGTAAAGAGAAAGAAAGATGATGAGAAGTGAAAGATGATGAGAAGTGAAAGAAAGAAAGAAAGAAAGAAAGAAAGAAAGAAAGAAAGAAAGAAAGAAAGGGGAAAGATAAATAAATGAAGAGAAAGAAAGATGAATGAAGTAAAGAGAAAGAAAGAAAGAAAGAAAGAAAGAAAGAAAGGGGAAAGATAAATAAATGAAGAGAAAGACAGAGGAATGAAGTAAAAAGAAAGAAAGATGATCAGAAGTGAAAGAAAGAAAGAAAGAAAGAAAGAAGGGGGAAAGATAAATAAATGAAAGAAAAAAAAGATGAATGAAGTAAAAGATGAAAAAAGAAAAAAGAAAAGAAAAAGAAAGAAAGAAAGAAAGGGAAAGATAAATAAATGAAGAAGAGGAATGAAGTAAAAAGAAAGAAAGATGATCAGAAGTGAAAAAAAGAAAGAAAGAAAGAAAGAAAGAAAGAAAGAAAGAAAGAAAGGGGAAAGATAAATAAATGAAGAGAAAGAAAGATGAATGAAGTAAAGAGAAAGAAAGATGATGAGAAAGACAGAAAGAAAGAAAGAAAGAAAGAAAGAAAGAAAGGGGGAAGATAAATAAATCAAGAGAAAGAAAGAGGAATTAATGAAAAGTGTAAAAAAATGTGAAAGACGACTCAAAAAAGAGGGAAAAAATAAAAGTAGAGAAGCGATAAGTGAAGTGTCAAGAAAAAAAGAAAGAAAGAAAGAAAGAGAAGACGTAAGCAGAAAGAAAGAAAGAAACAAACGAAGAAAGAAAACTGGAAGTAATGGAATATGAAAAGAAAATAAGAAAGGACAAATAAAAGTAAGAAATAAAAAAAAAGAAAGATTAAAAAGAAAGGCAAAAACAATGAAAGAATGACAATTAAAGAAAAGGGAAGCGTTAAAACTGAAATGAAAGAAAGAAAGAAAGAAAGAAAGAAAGAAAGAACTAGTGGAAAGAGCACGTGATAAAAAAAAGAAAGTGTAGAAAAAAAATAAAGGAAGAAAGAAATAAAGAAAGGGGAAGTGAAAGAAAAAAAAATTGTCAATATATTTGACTGAAAAAAAATTTCTCGCGGTTTCTAAATAAATTACGTTTTTGACAAAACGCCCGAACATACGTCCCAACTTAATAATTTGACTTATCGGAATAAATCAAAATATCAAAATGACCTTTCCTCATCTCTAAAATAAAACGAAAATCACATTTCTTTCATTTTAATTCCATCTCAAATGAACAGAAGTTTCGGACCACAATCTGAAGCTCATCAAAGAGAATGACTGCGTGTAAAGTTTCTTCGTAGACCGGATGCTTGCCGCCATCAATTCTAAGTCTATTCTAATTCCGTAGCCATCTTGACCAATAGGTATCATGTTTAAGAACTTGACCTCTGCTCGGTCGGGCGATCACATTGAGTTGATACGACATAAAGGTCACCGCGAGGAGCAATGAAATCTTTTACGCTTATGATTTGCGCTGTATTACGCAGATTTGTAATTTTTCACGTCAGTCATTTGGAGATGGGGTACTACGTCTTATACGCAATCTTCTTCCTGTATGCACTGTGTGTCTTCACTACGCGGTCTACCATTACTCACAACAGCATTTGTAGTTTTTTTTAATCATTTTCGCCCCAAGCAAAGCAGTAAAGCCACTAGCTTATTGGTTTTGCAATAATAATAATAATAATAATAATAATATTAAAAGAAAAAGAATTAAAGAGGGTTGACCAATAGAAGAAGAGTAATCAAGAAGACAGTAGATAACGGTCGCCATCTTTTGTCATTTTATAAGAGCCTGTGATAATTCTAATTTCTCATGGTTTATCACGGTTTATCTTCTCATATACTGGTGAGGATTAATTAACAATTTCTTTAAAGTTAGCTGACTGAAATGTGATGTGATTGCAGTGTAGGTACACTATGAAGAAATGCACGTATAAGTTTTGTAAAGAAATAACCAGTGTATCTGTCTATGAAGGCCTACATCTTTTACGGTCCATGACTAAAGGGGTCCATAACTAAGGAGTCTATTACTAAAGCCATCCGGGTCTCAAAAAGGGTTAGGAACCACTGGTCAAGCGGTTTGGTTTTGGAGGTCTTGGATGAATCCATGGAACCACCTGGACTGGGTCAGAGGAAAAATGATCTGCCAAATTCTAGTCATCAAGATTTTTGGTGGAGCGGTTATAAAATATTGTATCTTCGGCATAAATATCGATATCTTTTTTTTTAATCGATTTTACGTCAAACATGGCATTAAAGCCACTAAGACGCAAGGGGTTACTGGATGCGGAAGAATTAAAAAAAAGTAACTTTACTAAGCAGCAAGAACGAAAGACGAGTAATCAGCAGGACAGTAGAAGAGAATTTTTTGAACATTAAAGTTGGCTGGAAAACATAGAGTCAGAAGAAGGTCCCACAAGCAAAAAGTGCGAGAAAGAAACTGTTAGCATTGATCTTACGGTTACATCTCGCCAACTACACTGTATATTGGTTAGACCACGTCACCAGTCAAAGTAAAGTCTAGGAACCCTGGCGAAGCACTCATTCGAACTGTTGCAATGAAAGTGTTTATAGAAAAAGCACAAGGAGGCATATTTCCAGAGTAAGGTTTGTATTTCAATACCCCACCACTGCCTCATCCATTTGCACAAGCTTATTTAAGTAGATGACTCATTGTTTCCTTCTGTAATCATTGCCTTCAGTATGTCCTTTCCAAACCCTCTTTCCTCATTATTTCGAAGCAGAGATAACAACTTTTTGTTTCTAAGTGCAAGTTCATTGATTGGTTGATTGATTCGTTTTCTGAGGCTTACCAACTCTCTCTCTCTCTCTCTCTCTCTCTCTATATATCTCTATATATATATATATATATATATATATATATATATATAGTTATATATAAAATATATATAATAGTTTATGGGTAATCCCCAAGGAGGATGATATCAGAAAGCTCAATGTAAATTCAGAGCAAATATATTTGAATAAAAAACAGACCACTTTAAGGTACCATTAGAATAATTTATTTCACCACAGCCCTTTTAAAGGACTGCGGATCATCAGACTTTACTTCCAAAAGACTTTACTTTCATTTCAACTTTTGGAAGTAAAGTCTGATGATCAGAACCCTTTAAAGGGTTGTGGTGAAATAACTTAATTGAACATGGAACCTTAAATTCAATCTATTTATTATATATATATATATATATATATATATATATATATATACACGTTTCATTAAATAATATAGACAAGTATTTGTCTATTTATTTTATGTAAAATTTTTCGTATCTTCTGATAAGTTTGGTAACATTAACCGAAAAAAAATTCACAATATTTATCCATTATTTTTTAATAAAATCTAAGCTTTCGGCTTACTCAAGCCATTATCAAAGATGTAAATACAAACATATCAAACAATATACGGACACGACAGTGATGATATAGTCTGTCATTGTTTTGTTTACATAGTGAATCACTAAGCAACGATGAACACGCGCATATAAGACGCTAGAAGCGAAAATCGCACCGCATCTCATGACGTCACACATGACTACACGAGTGAATTGGAGAATGAAATAAGGAAAGCCGTTGGTATAATCAATGGCTTCTGTTACCAATTATTGAAATTATAGACATTTAAGAATATTTGTAGAGATTCCATAGTTGATTTTGTTTAGGTTGGGTTTTAACTGTTTGATGTATAATGCTTCAAGTATTTTTAGTTTTTGTCTATTGTTTTCATGTCGAAGTATAGTTGTGTTTTCGACAAGTATTTTACGGAATGTGTGTGCGGGCAGGCATGTTGTTTTAAATGCCTAAAAATGTTAGAGTTTTCATTAAGATGTAGTGTCAAGCGTCGTGAAAGCGAGTTTGTGGTGTGACCAACATAAATATTATTTAATTCGTTGGAATACACTCTCCCAAAGGGCACTTGAATTTATAAACTATGTTGGTTTTTGCAAATCGCTAATCGGGGAGAAGAATCATTTGCGAAGTATTAAGTTGGATATACTAGATTTAGTGTAGTATATGATTAATTTAATTTTTTGCTAGGATCTGTAGTTGATATATTAGAATTTACTAAATTTTTTAGTATGTGTTCATCTTGTTTTATAATTAGTATGCATTTGATTACGATATAGGAGATTAATATATTTGAGATCAGTAGAAGCAGTATTATGTACAATTTGCTTATTATTGAGATTTCTAAGAAAGCATCTTATTTGTTCATCAACTATATAGTTTGGAAGCTATTATTAATAAGTGTCTGTTTTATATTCTTTAGTTCACTGTAAAAATCTGTTTGGTGGATGAATTAGTTTCTGCACGATGTATTAGATTCTTTATAATTGCTATTTTGTAGTAATATGGGCATTCGCTCTTGTAGTTAAGTGTACATGAATTTATGCTTTGTAGGTTTTTGTATGGAGAAATAGTAAATTTGTTATTATTTGTGTTTATTAATATGTCAAGGAAGGGATTTTATTATTAGTATTAAGTTCATATGTGAATTTAAGGACAGAATTATTTTGGAACCGTTTTGAAGTTGAATTATTTCATCTGTATTTTTTAACTAACATAAGAATATCATCAACGTATCTTAGGTAGATTGATGGTTTTTTAAAATCTGTAAATAACTTATTTTCTAGGTTCGACATGTAGAAATTGCTAAATGTCGTGCCCAATACTGAACCCATGGAGACACCATCACGTTGTATATATATATTGTTATTATTATCAAAGAAAGGGACTTCAGTAGTACAAGTTAATAGTAGTTTTCTTAATATATTAGGATTAATTTTAAGTGGGGGTAAAGATGAGTTACTGTATATATTTCTTATGATTATGTCAATAGTTTCACTAACAGGGACATTGGTAAATAAGTTTTCCACATCAAGTGAAGCCATGATTTCATTATCAGGTTTTTCACTTTTTAGGATTTTAAAAAATTTTACATAAAATAAATAGACAACACTTGTCTATATTATTTAATGAAACGTGTATAAATGAAAATATGCTGCCTAAATACACACAATATATATATATGTATAAGGCATGTGCTATCAGTAATTAGCAGGGTAGGTAGCTTGTAACGTTTATGTAGTAAATCTACAAAAGTAAAATATTTTGCATTTTATGCATAATAATCAGAGTGACCTTCAAAATTTTGTTGCATTTGGTGCATATTTTGCCACAGAAGGAAAATGCAGCTGCTGATCGATTTTATTCAGGGTATGCACTGTCTACCTAAATGACACGTCCCTGATATATATCGTGATAGATAGAGAGAGAGAGAAAGAGAGAAAGAAATTGTGCGAGAAAGGAGGAGAAAGAAAGAAAATAAGAAGAAAAAGAGAAACTATTAAAAGAGAGAAAAGTTGTGGGAGAAAAGAAACGTAAAGGAATGGAGAAACGTTCGGAGACAGAAAGAAGACGCGGTAATAATATCGATTTTCCAAGCGTAGCTTGGATGTAGCACAAGGCCGAAAGCTAGGGGTACCCAGTGAGGATCGAATTCACTACTCATTCGTAATTGTTCGAGCGAGACAAGCTTGCTAACCATTACACCACCTCGAGGCGCCCAAAGTGGCAATGATAAAGAAGAACCGATAGTAAGAGAGAAAAGAAGGAGAAAAAAAAAGAGGAAATATATGGAGAGGGAAGGAAAAAAAAGGAAAAGAAAGAAAGAAAGATATAGAATTAGAGAGTAGATGAAGAAAAGACAGGAAGATAGGGCGAGAGAAGGTAAATATGCAACAGACGTGAAATAAGGAGAAAGTAGAAATAAGTAGAAATGAGCGTGAAAGTTTCCTTTTTTATAAGTATACATGAAAATTAAATAAAAAAGCAAGAGTTAAAACAAAAAAAGGAAGACAGATTGAGAGAGGAATAGTGAGAGTGATACATGGAGGAAAAAATCATTATTATTGATTGAGTTTAATCTGACTGCAAGGAGTGGAGATTCGTCGTGTCTGTCCGGGTCTCAGTTTCATAATTGATCTTAATTTCCTAGTTAAAGAAAATGACATCTAGCGAATTATAGCTTATTTTCTTGTCCTTCAAAGAGACTTACGCATACATATACATATATATATATATATATATATTTATATATTGGTCAGCAATCCCTCTGTTATACAAGTTGAATTAAAAACGACTGACCAGGTGTTGTAGTTAAGTTTCCTTTTTATAAGTATACATGAAAAATTAAAAAAAAACACGGGACCTTGTCAGTCGTTTTTAATTATATATATCTGTCTATATATATATATATATATATATATATATATATATATATATATCTATAGATAGATAGATAGATAGATAGATAGAGATAGATTATCTATCTATCTATCTATCTATCTATCTATCTATCTATCTATCTATCTATCTATCTATCTATCCCTATCTATCTGATTA